CAGCTTGAAGGCCATTTATTTAAATTAGACTGACTACCGATTCTCTCCTTTTTTTTCTCTTTGGGGGTTAGTAGTTTGTCCGTACAATCTTCTCGGCTTCGGTCTCAAACCCAACACCCTTACACCCAGCCCTATATCTAACTTCCCAAAATTATCTTATTCTAAACATCCCAAACAAGCCCCCTAAACCCCCCTGTGCGTAACTGTCCAATAGCTGGTGTAAGCATGACTACTCAATTCCTTTCAGTAAGCGTGCAATTAAGTAATCATCCAGTGGAGCTGTAGGACCATTTGTCATCCCATTCGTGCTGCGAATAGGTTTTGCTTAATTGAAACCGACCACCACATTTCTCGCTCTTTTTTCGTGAGTCATCAAATTGTAACCTGCAATCTCCTACCTGTTGTTTACTAGATTTCATTTGACAACCATCTATGACCATTCCATCTTCGAGGCATTTAGCAAGGTGGTGCAGAAGTTAATCCCCTACCTGGATGCCTTCGAGGACCTATTGAACATCTTCATCACGGTAAGGCCTGCGTGTTCTCGCATCTGTTCGGGCACTCCGCCATATAGTGTGCTTGAGAATTCTTTCCTAAAATGCTGGTAGCAAATGCTGACAGCGGTTGTAGTTGCTTTCGTTGTTATTGTTATAACCGAGTTTGTTCCTGTGTCAACATTTGTTATAACCTTGGGTTAACCTGCGTCTGGACTGATCATCTGCTTCGCCAGTGTTATAACCTAGTGTGTTCCTGTGTCAAAACCGGTTATGTTCCCCAGCTACGTGTTAGGAAGAGAAGGCAGAACAGGATAGCTGAAAGTACTCTACAGTGGTCGCCGTTGACCACGTAATTTTCTTTAATTTGTATAAGTTTGATCATTACTCCAATACCAGCGCGAATCTATTTAGTGAACCATAGAAATAATAATGAACGGCATAAGGCTTATTAAGTACTTAAAATCACTATAGAAATTACTTAGTGTTCATAAAGGAATATAAAATTT